TATATATATAATTATTAAATATTTAAAGTAAGCTCGGCCTTTAATATTATAATCCAAGGGGCGGAAGATAACCGCACCCGGAAAGTTAAAAGAATTTTTGGTGTAATAAATATATATTCAAAGGAAAATATTAATATTTAATTTACATTTACATGTAATACATTCAACCCAGACTATTCTTTCTTTCTTTTTTTATTCGTTTCAGTGATATTCTTAATCCTTCATATAAAAAAATAGAATAATATTATGGAAGCAAGCGTTTTTAGAATTTGTTTTCACTTGTTATTTAAGTTAAATTATACTTTTAATTTTTTAATTTTGATTATTTTATTTTTAAATAGAAATATTTAACTTTTTAATTTTAAAAATATGAAAAAGTGGTTCATTCGTTAAATTGACATTTATTCATGTTTAATTGATGTGATATTTAGTAATATTATGTTTATAGATAAAAATATTAAAAAATATATGTAAATAAGATTTATCAATAAAAAAATATGAATCATTCGTTGAAATATATGTATTTTTATTATTTTTATTATAGATGTATATATTTAAATTTGGGTAAACATCTAATTTAATTTCTAAAATATAATAAAGGTGGTTGATACAACTTTAAAAGATTTTTTTGGCATTTGGGTCCTTAAATTTTAACTCTATTATGTAAGTTAGTTATTTTATTTTAACTCAGTTGCTAACTTTATTAATTTTTTGAGCAAAGTTACTAATTATGTTAGTTTCTTGAACAATTAGAAGTTAAATGTTAGGTTAACACTTATACTCTCTTCTAATTGGTTGTTCTCTTTCCTAATTATCAAATATGCAAGACTTTGGTATTTTTTAATAAATAATAAATACTTTGTCATATTTAAGTATTTTGGTCATGATTACCCTGGTTAAAATAGAAGACTGCTTTTGAATTTCGTAGGGTTTTATGTAGTTACTTTTTTTGTCTCAATTATTTTTAGCTTCTTTGTTTATTATGACTACATGTTTGGGATTATAAAGTAATTAAATTAAATTTTAGTAAAATAAGTGGTCGTTTTAAAATGTCTAAAGTAAGGATATGTTAATTGCATATAGATATTTTTGTTATATTTAATGAATAACAAACTTTTTCTGGTAGAGGTAAAAAAAAGTTTAGTGGTAATCGTCTCTATGTTACTTGGGAGAGTGAATAAGTATCAATGTAACAATTAATTATTGATTTGTCATGAGATTACTAGAGTTAGTGGCCGTATAACGAAAAGATTAATTTGTATAATAAAGTTAAAATTTAAGATTCATGTGTCACAAAAATATCTTTCAAGAACTTATTCACTTTTACTATCTTTCAAGAATTAAATGAAGTGTTTATTCATTTAAATTTCTTAATAATCATACACTACCATTATAAATTTTGATGTTAACAATCAATCAAAAATTATTATTAAAATAAGATTATAAAAATCAATAAACTTATCATACAAATAGTGATTAGATAACAAAATAAAACTGTTTTATATTATCACTACATAACTTATTTTTTCCTTTTTATAATATAGTATAAATAATTATTATAAGTCCAAAACATAATTTATATCTTCACAAATATTTATTTATTATTATATTTAAATCATTTATTTATTAAAAATTTAGGTATATAAAACAAATTTTTATCGACTATATTTGTACAAACTAAAATATTATACAAGATGTACCGTTTTCTATATTGTTGACCAGTAAGAAGTTACTTTTAAAACGACTTTCAAAATAATTAAAAATAATAAATTTTTTTATATTATAATAATTTGTAATTAAATGCGAATTTTACGCTTGGAGTGCATATATATTATTTATTCATATTATATTTGTATATTATTGCGGCTTGTCTCTGGCTGGTAATTGATTTATTTGTTTGGAAAAATTATACAATGATATAAATAAATAAATTTTATGGCAGTTATTTATTTATTTGTTTTGATATGCAGAGAGTTTAGAAATCGAGAGAAGTGGCTTTATAAATTTTATGATGATAACCAAGACAGCATTCTGCTCATAAATTTAGTGTGAGAAAGGTCGAAGTGATTCAGGCATCTGTGTCTGTGTTGACATCTAACATGACATGGTGAATGGTGATTATGCTCTTTTCTTTTTCTTTCTCTCCGCCCCATACCATATCATATCTATGTCTCTTCACACATTGTCTTAAACCAACCCACATGTGTTTGTGTTGCTTAGATTTTTCATCACTTACCTTAAACTTAACCTTACCCCTTCTTTGCATTTAGTCATTTACCATACTCTCTTCCCTTTTCACTCCTTTTTTGCATGCTTTAAACAAACACTCATACACCACTCTTTGCTCCACAACTCACCATTATTCTTGCTCTCACAACTTGTTGTCATCATCATTCTCCGGTGAGTTTTATTGCTCTGTCATGATGTTAATGAATCTTCTCTCTGTTGTTGTTTTTGTCGTGTATTTACCCTGTGAATTGTTGTTCCAGACTTTGGTTCCCGAATCTCGAGAGTGTTGGTGATTCGATTGGCTTGTGATGGGTCCTGTGAGAGGATTCAAGAAGAAAAGAAAGCCTGAGAAGAAGCATGACAAAAATGGTTCTGCTGCTTCTGGGTCACCCGGTGGAGAGGGTCCTGTGGATTGGTGGGGTGACTTGTCAAAGAGGATGAGTGGTAGATTTCCTTATGTGTTTCACTGTGTTCAATAATTCCTTTCGTGTTTGGTCTTTGTTTTTTATGTGTGGTGTTGCTTTTGCTAATGAATCGTGGCCTTGCTTTTCATCTCTATTTTACAATATATCACTTTTGCTGTTTGTCATTGAAATTCTTTGCACACTGTGTCACTTAAATGCGTTTTGATAGACATGTTAAGGATCCCTAATTGACTTTCAACTTGCCTGTCATTTTGATTGTGTTATCTTACCAATCAAGGAATGGTTAATCTCATTATTAATAGCACTATAATTAACCCTGAAAAGGTTTGTGTATCGTATAGTACATTAGGGGTGGATGAGAAATTCCAAGGAAGAATGATACTTTCTTCTGGGTGCTGGAATAGTTGTGCAGTGTGTTTGTTTCCACATCTTCACAGATGTTATGTGTGTCCATCAGAAGCAATAAGTTATAGCTTTTGTGTAATTGACCCAATTTGAAGTGGTTTTTCTCACTTTAAGTGCCTGGACGTGTGTCTAAACACACATGAAATCTGTCTGTGTTTTCTGTTTGATTTCAAGTGTGATATTAAGAGTTTTCTAACTTCTTCATGTTAGTTATTTGTAATTTGATTTTTAAATCAATAACAGAAAGCATATGTAACATATGTATCAGATATATGTTGTATTCCCTTTACCCTGTCACTAATTGAAAGAACGATGATTCCCATATAAGGTGCGTCAGAACTTCATTATTATATTTACTTCCAAAATTTCATTTAAACAAAAAAAGAAGTTACTTCTTGTGGCATTCGTCTATGTTTCCTCACATCGCCTAAACATTCTCAAACCAAATGAAAATGTTTCTACTGATGTTAGTAACAATATATTTTGTGTAATCTTTATTGCTTTCCATTCACTAGACCTTCTCCTTGTAAAGAAAGGAGATAAATTTTGTTGTCAACATGGTTTTGTACAGATTCTATTAGCAATGATAAATAAATTTTGTTGACATTATGCTTCAAATTCAGTGTTTTGGGTTCTCAAGCTTTCTAACTAGATCATTGTATTATTTTCATAGTCTGCTCAGGTAATTAATGATGCTTGCAGTTGGCATGCACAGACTATTAGATTTCACATAGTTAAAGTAACTAAGGAAAAAAATGGGAAATGTTCTATTATGCAGGAAGAATAATAGAACAGACTTTATCTTCATTGCATCTTTTATCTGCTGTCCTCTTGATGCTTATGTGATCTGTTTCTACGGAATGGTTAATGTTGTTTGATTTGTTATCCTTTGCTTTTGGTTTATTTGTTCTATACATTTTTATTGGCTCTTAAACATTTGTTTGGAGGAAGTATTTTTTTCCTCATGTGCTGTAGATGAAGAACTAAAGAGAGGAGAAAATATGATGTACTCATTAGTTTTCACAAAAATGTTTCTTGAAAATTTCTCAGTTATTAGGTCCAAGAAATAAAAAAGCAGTCAGCAATCAACTTATGAAAGATGTTCCTAACCTTTATACACAGAATATTTTTTTGGCAGCAAAGCAGTGGAGCTCCTGTTTTCTGTTTCGAGTTTTATAGCCATGATTTGATTGGTTAGTTTCAATATGACTATCACCTTACATAAAATTAGAACGTTGTTGAATAATGACTATCACATTATGTGATTATGTCATGACAATTATGCTAAATAGGCAACTTGCTGTAGTAAACTATTCCTGAACAGCTTGATATTTGCTTATAAATTTTACCTAGGCTATGTTTTATGAACTATGATCTTTTACTACAACACTCTTGGATAAACAATATCTGTTCATCCTCTGTATAATTTTGAAATAGTTCACCTTTCTGATGTGTGATCATACCAAACCACTTACAGAAACAAGATCACGTTTTTTTAAGTAGAATTACTTGATATTTATTTCAATTTATGTTGCTTGACTGCTTATGTTTCTGCTAGCAGACAAACCTTAGAATTTATTTCAACCGGTGCTACATTTTATGTTAAATGAATTGAATTTGATGACTCAAAGTTCGGTCAATATTGAGTGATTGCTTAAAGACATAGTTGCAACATTTAAAAAAATACTGAGATACCATCGGTATTGAAAGTAATTAATTTACTTCGTGAACTAAATTCAATAAAGTAACATCAGTTGCTGTACATGGTCCTACTATGTAGAGGCTGTCTGTTTTTGGTAAACAGTAAACCTGTGATTATATATGAGCACGTTGGTGATCGTAAAGGTTCTAGTCAACAAAAGAATTAGGTAAAATACTTTAAGATTAACTGTATTATTCTGTAATTTCAAGTAGAAGCATCCACTAACTCTCATTATTTTCGGTGAAAAAATGGAAAAAGATGTAAGCACCATTTTATTTAGATTATCCTTATTGATGTCAATTTGTCATGTTCTTGTTTAAATTGTTATATTAGTAGATAATCCGTACTGGATATGAAGTGTGTAATTGAGATTATAGTGTTCTAGGAGCATGTTATTTGCATTTATGCCATTTATAGAAATTCAGGATCAAACATGATTTTTTAACATCCAATCTAATTTTAATATTGTAATGCTATCTTGGAGTTTAGGCACATTGTCCTAAACCTTATAATAGTTTTTGTTACTATGCATTCTTTTACCTGTATTTTCTCCATATTCATGAATAAATTGGTTACGTGATTTCTGTATTCAACTGAAGTGCAATGTTCCATGCTAATGTAGGGTGTTGTAGTTAATTGTCTGGTTTTTTCCCTTATGAATCAAATAACATTTTCATTTGTTTTGTTGTATTTTTGTTTTTTTTTTTTTTTTTTTTACTGATTTCATAGACAAATTGAAGGCTTCTGATTTGTCACACTTCTTTGACCCTTTTCATTTTTGACATAAAGGACAGAAATTCTCCATACCTTCATTTCAACCCTGCATGAACTGAAAGACCATAAAAAATGTCAGCATTATTAACATTTAGAATTAGAAGATATAACTATGTTATTTGGCAGGTTTTCAGCAATCTCCATCTAAGTGTTTGGATAACTTCGAAGCTGCTTTCAAGATCTCCAGAAAGACATTCGAGTACATATGTTCACTTGTTAAAGATGATATGATGACAAAATCTGCACATTTTGTATTTACAGATGGTAAGCCAATGTCTTTATATGAACAAGTAGCAGTGGCACTTAGAAGACTAGGATCTGGTGAGTCACTGGTTACGATTGGTGATTCATTTGGGGTAAACCATTCAACTGTTTCACAAGTCACTTGGCGATTTGTGGAATCCATGGAAGAAAGGGGTCTTCATCATCTGCAATGGCCTTCAACAGAAGTGGAAATGAATGAAATTAAATCCAAATTTGAGAATATACAAGGCCTCCCAAATTGTTGTGGCGTAATTGATGTTACTCACATTACAATGTGTTTACCTGCATCTGAACCTTCCTGCAATGTGTGGCTTGATCACAAGAAGAATCATAGCATGGTCTTGCAAGCAATAGTGGATCCTGACATGAGATTCAGGGACATAGTCACTGGCTGGCCGGGTAAAATGCAAGACTGGTTGATATTTGAGAGCTCAAATTTCAACAAACTTTGTGAAAAGGGTGAGAGATTGAATGGAAACAAATTACAGCTCTACGAAGGATCAGAAATAAGAGAATATATAATTGGGGATTCAGGCTATCCTCTATTGCCTTACCTTGTTGTCCCCTATGAAGGGAAAGAACTCTCAGAACAAAAAGCACAATTTAACAAACAGCATTTGGCAACAAGGATGGTGGCACAAAGAGCACTGGCAAGGTTGAAGGAGATGTGGAAAATCATTCATGGAATGATGTGGAGGCCCGACAAACATCGTCTGCCAAGGATTATTCTGGTCTGCTGTGTTCTTCACAACATTGTTATTGATTTGAAAGATGAATTGCAGGGTGAACTATCTTTGTCTCATGATCATGACTCAGGTTACCATCAACTAGTTTGTGGAGCTGTTGAAGAGAAGGGACTTGCACTAAGAGACAGTTTGTCTCACTGCTTGAATGGAAGATTGTCATCATGAGTTATTTGTGCATGACTAGCTTTTGGTTGCTCAATGAATTTACTAAAATATGAAAGTTTCTAAGAAAACATATTGTATGTTATAGTTTCTCCTTCCCAATTTGTAGACTGTAAATAACTTGGATGGTTGATGCCAGGGTGAACATTGCAAGGTTGCCAAATTGTGATTGAGGATAAGGTGAGTGAGTGGTAAATTCACATCTGCATTCTAAATTGAGCATAGTTCTTTTTACTAGAATAATAAAGGGAGTTGATGTTTACTTTGCTAGTTGCAAACTTTTATGAATAGTTCCATGTAAAACCGTGTGACTATGAGGACAAATAATTATATAATATCAAACTCTTTTAAAATGTGGCTAGTCACAATTATATAATATAACAAAAGCAACTTCAACATTAAAAACCTTGAGGGGGAGCCTTGTTAAATACAATAATCTTATCTACTTTGAGCATAATTCACTCCAACAGCGATCTAAAAAAAATACAACAAAACAACTTTACATTCACGGTAAGTCATAATTAAATTATATGAAGTGTGTTAATTATAACATAAATGAAACAATACATAATTAAAACATACCAGGGAGGACAGAGTTACTGTGAAACTAACTTGAGTCCCGAAAAATGGCATTTAACTCTAATAAGCTCTTTCCAAATGACATTTAACACGTACTAACAAACACATTTATAATTTAGGTTAACATTTTTTTTGTCCTTATAGTTTTAGTTATTTTATTTTTTAATCTTTATAGTTTAAAATAAAAAAAATTAGTCTCATATTTATCTTTTTCAACTTTTTTTTTTTAATTTCTATAATTTGATAGATTTTTTAGTTCTTATATTTCAAATTTTTAATTTTTTTACTCTCTATTATTATTTTTTTGTAAGGTTCTATTTTGTATTGACGTAGTAGATGTTTTCAATTTTATGAAAAAAAAATATTTCTCAACAATGAACATCAATGAAAGTATAAAAGAGATACAAAACATGGAGAGATCTAATTTATAATGATTCTAGCAAAATAAAATATAAGACACACAAAGTTGAATTAATATCTTTGTTATATCAAAATAGATAAAAACACATTACAAAAAAAAAAAACTAACGACAGAATTTAAAAAGATATAAAAAAAATCACAAATATAGAGAGATTTAAAATAGGCTTAAATATGTTTTTAGTCCCTCAAATTTAAGACAAATTTATTTTTGGTCTCTCAAATTTAAAACTGTTATTTTTAGTCCTTGTAATTTTTAAAAATATTGTTTTAGTCCCTTAGGTCACCAATAACATATTTGAAAGTGATTAATTAAGACATTTATGCAATATCAACTAGATTTAATGTGATATTTTCACTAATAGGGACACCAATAGGTAGATTTTATGCAATAATGTTTGATAAATTTCTTAACAAAATTTGAATATAAGGACTAAAATAAGATTTTTTTAAATTACAGGGACTAAAACCAATAATTTTAAATTTGAGGGACCAAAAATAGATTTACCCTAAATTTGAGGGGCTAAAAATATATTTAAGCTTTTAAAATATTTAAATTAAACTATAAAAAATAAAAGAGATTGAAAGAGATAAGTATAGAAAAAAAATCTATTTTAAACTAAAAAAAAATGTAAAGTAAGTGAAAATATAAAGATTAAAAAAATATTTTAGCCTATAATCTAAATGCATTTCCATGTGTGAATTTCAAATTTGTAAAAGCATGAGTTTGACTCATTCACAATTTGCATACAAATTTCAAGTTTGTAAAGCATGAGTTTCACTAGTTTAAATAATTGAGTTCAATCTTAACCTCCAGTTTATCTATTTAAATTAAACAAAAAAATTATAACAAAATATTCATGAATAATTCAACTCATTTATACCACTAAGTTATGGTATAATAATAACATATTAAAAAAAAAGCCTTTTATTCAAATTAATATATTTCTCATTGTCTTATAGATTATATTTCTTATAAATAGAAACACAAATTAACTTTAAAAAATGCATTTTTTAATATTTTTTTATCAACTTAAAACAAAAACAAACAAAAAACTAAAGGATACAACTTTAGGGGCAAAAATTTTGCTCCAACTAATTTTTTAAATAAAAATTCAAATTGAAAATAATTGTTTTTTCCACTCAATTCAAAAAATATCGTCATTTCTTTCACTTAATCTAAAGAAAATATATATTTGTATATTTATTATATCTGAATACAAAATATTACATTATAAATATTTTGTAAAATATATTAAAAAGTGAATCAAACTGGAGAAGTTTTCGTTTTCATATTAGTATATATATATTTTTATTTATGAAATACTTAAAAATTAAAATAAATAAAAATACACAGTTATAATCTTGGAGACAAATTATTTCAGATAATTTTTATAATAAAAAAATTTAATTAATGACAAAAGAATATAATTGAAGAAAAATTATTCTATTTTTAAATATTTTTTTATTTATCATGTTAAAAAGTTACCAGTATTTTTTAAATAATGTAAAAAAAAATTGTTTTTCAGACTTCTTATTTATCTGTATTGCATTTGAATGAATAGAATATTATAAATATATTATATAAGAAATTATAAAAAATGAAAAAAATTAAATCAAATTAAGGAAAATTTCTTTACATAATTTTGTTATTTCAAAGCAATTAAAAATTAAATAAAAATACAACTTGAAAAAAAAAAATGCATGGAAAAGTGTCTACACAGTTGGGGAATAGAACTTGTTTTATGTAAAGTTCATAGATTATAGCAGGGGCGAATCTCCATTTATTAACTACTATAAATTAGTCTTTCATATGATGCACGAATTTATATTTTGAAGAATGAGTTAGGCACTTCAATCTTACAATGTTTGAATCAATTTATCCTTTATTTATTAAAATATTTATTTTAATAATTTGTTTTTTATTTAAATCAATTTAATCTTTTAAAATAATTATTATTTTTAATTTTGTGATTCAAATTTTGAATCAATTTTTAACTGATTTAAAACGTGAAACCTGTAACATTTAATTTATCTACATGAAAATTATAAAATATAATTGACATTTAAATTTAAAATAATTATAAACATAATAAAAATTCATATGAATAATATATCACATGAACAATTAGATCATAATATAAAATATATTTTTTGAAAATTTTAATTTTAACATTATATGTAATACTTTTCCTTTTAAACTTTAATTGCATTTAATAATTTTCATATAAATAAATCTAATGAGACAAATTTAAAATCTTAAATCGATAAAAAAAAATATTCAAAAAGAGTAAATTAACCTAAATTTAAGATATTAACAATCAAAATAAATTTAAAGAGAATCAAAATATACTTTAACCTATTTTTTTATAGTATCTATATTATTAATAAAGGAATATCTCTTCTTCATGTATATAAATTTTAAACTAATTTACTCTTAATAGAATTTCTAAATCACTTTTTCTTTTATTATCTTTTATTTATTTATTCTCTCTTTTTCTACTTTAAAACATTTAATTTTTAAATCTTTTATCCATTAAATAACTACTCATTATCTGTTTATTTTTAAATAATGATACTTTGTACATCTTTTTCTTAATATATATTATATTAATTATAATTATTAAGTCAATAAAAAGATGGTCTCTGAGTGCACTAATGGAAAAAGGAGCTACTACGTCTCTTCATTTACGTCGGAAACTAGCACACCCGACGTTGTAAAAACGCGGTGGCAGTTCCGTAAATAATAGGAGTTATTTATGTCGGACAAAGATGGGTCCGACGTAAATGAGATAATTTACGTCGGACAGTAAAGCAGCCGACGTAAATTATCTCATTTACGTCGGACCCATCTTTGTCCGACGTAAATAACTCCTTAAATCATGGGCGCGCACTATGGATTTCAAATCGTAGCATTCTTCCTCATTTTCACGTTCTCCCGCGCGTTGTGGATTCTTCCTCATCCCTCCGCCTCCTCCTCAAATCGTGGTTGTCTTCCTCATCTTCACGTTCTTCTATTTTTCTTCTTCGGAGTTACGTTGTTTCTTCTTCGCGTGTTGATGGAAATGGCTTAACCATACATCCATCTGTTTTTCTATGAGGTAGTGACCACTCCTTAACCGATGTTTGTGTTTTCTGGAATGTATTTTTCGTAATAATGTTTGTGCATTTCGTGTTTGTGAAGCTGCAGAAGTAAGTGACCACTGCCTGGGTTTATCCAGCAGAACGGGCCGTTCCGTTCTCCATGGAGAACAGGCCGTTCTCCAAGAAGAACGGCCGTTCTTCAAGGAGAACGGGCCGTTCTCCAAGCAGAACGGCTCGTTCTGCTTGCAGCGTTTTCTTTTTTTTTATTTTAATTTTTACGATTTTTTACATCGGGCCTTTATATGTCCGACGTAAATTTACGTCGGTTTTTGACCCCCGACGTAAATTTTACGTCTCCCGTAATGACGTCTGATTCTTTTCCGACGTAAATGGCTTTAAATGCCCGACGTAAAAAGGGTCTTTTGTACTAGTGGTGATAATCAACCCAACCAAACCCATATTATACTATTTTTTTTAAAAGAAAAAAGTTAAAATTTTGACACAAAAGATGAATGATTAATTAAGTGTTTAATTATTTATAGTTATTTTTGAAATTTTAAAAATGAAAAATCCATTCAGTGTTTTTAACATATGAGATCTCGTAAAAAATAATTGTCATATATTTATATTTAAAAAATGTTAAATTATATATTTAATACAAACTTGTGTCTGAGTTTTGACCTTACTAAAAATTTATGATTGTCACTGCTAATAAGTATGACCGCGTGAAATAGAAGAACCCTCTTCATCATATAAAGTTAGCTTTCTTTGTGCATAAGATTGAAAAGTCGTGACGAGAAAACTTCAATCAACCACTAAGGTGCAACCCATAAATAAAATTAAAAAAAAAATGGAACAGATGTGATAAACCTACATCATTAGTCATTGAAATAACCTATTAAGGTCAGCTTAGTGGGACACTTGAATAGTTTACATAAGATTTAAGTTCTAACATCTTACACCACAAAAGATAATGTAGTCAGTGAAATATAACACTATCTGCATACAGGTTTGGATAAGTCAAGTGGAAAATCCCATCTACAATATAAGCTACAAGGTATCATCACTTGCTCACCAATAATTCCGGTCTTCTCCATTGTGAACCCTGCAAAACTGAATGGAAATCAACAACTTTCAGTGCTTTGGCAGACCAGGAATCAAATGAAACTGAAAGCAGTATTAACTCATTTCAAGTTTACCTCAGCTATTAAATCCATTAAGAACTCCATCACCATAGATGGATAGTACAAATGCTTCAGACCATTTCAGCTTTTCAGATTCTGATACAACAGAATCATCGAGGAAAGGGCACCAGAAACCCCCGGGACAAGACAGAACCCAACTTACTTTTGCCGGTGGTGGTTCAGTTAAGTTATGCATGGAAACTCTGTTATTCTCCTCTAACTTGGTTTTCTTCACAGAATCCAGCTTCTTAGAATGCATAATAGAACATTTAATTAATTACACTGAATGCATTAGCAGTTATTGATCATAATAAAGTCTATGTAGTTTTACCGGAGATTGAACGGTGAGTTTCAGGGACTTTAGAGTGTTTTTATTTTCTTCCACAACTGAAGGGCGTTTGTGGACAGTTTTTTGGCCACTTCTACCACCACGAGCTCTTTGCTCTCCGGTGCCTGGGTCTGATTTTCTCACTGACTGAAAGGAAGCATAAACTAATTTAGGTAATAGTGACAAACCATGCAGATATATGTTGATACTACTACATGATTAATTGTCAAACTGAAAACAACTTGTTTGTTTGAATTTAGCACCTTGGGTGTTGTTGTACATGGATTTCCTTCTGATAAGAATTTCTCAACAGCTCTCAAGGAACTACACTGTCCTGCCCCTGAGTCGATATATTTCTGCGGAAAATGTATCTTTAGATTAGGTCATTGAAAAACTTCAAGTCACAAGTGTAGGTCATCTTATTAGGGACTTTGTAACATTTTTTGGGTACATTAGAATTTAGAGGTGCAAGCTTCTGGGTAGGGTAGGGGCACAGGTGGAAAACCATAACTTCTTTACATTCTTGATGTGTGTAAGGTTGGCAAACTCAAGAGTTTACGTAAACTCATGTAGACTCTGAAAACTCGAATATAAAGAGTTTACTTAATATAAAAACTATATTAAAATGCTTATAAATAACATAATATCACAATATTCCAACTCCATAATAAAGAAAATTAATAAACTACTACAGTAAAATAGCAAAATTTACTAGTACATCACTAGTTAATAAAATAATTACTGTATGCAGTAAAAAAAAAATAGTATAATCATTAATTTAGTGTATTTCCAGGTTCAATAAATAAATAATGATTCGGTAAATAAGAGAAGAAGGGGATTGCTATTTGTGTATTTCAAAGTTTAGTAAAAAGGGTAATGAGAATTCTAAATCTTCAACGAGGCTGCAGCATTCACTAGACATGACTACAACCGTGAGAACCCGGACACCAAGCAATAAAGCCAAGATGCACAGAGTTAAATCTCCACATGCAAGTTGCAATGCAACACTCACAAAGCACAAACACGAGCATACAATGGCCACCATGACTGTAGACACAGGCACAAATGCGAAATCAGATTGCACGGTGACAAAAACCCTAATTCTCCATTTTAAAGGGAAAAAAATATCTAAACACACCTTGCAACCCGAATTAGGAGTTTTTTTTAGTCCACGTAGATAGGTACAATTGTGTCTAAAATTGCAATTATGAGCGATCCTGCTCGAGTTTAATCAATTCTAATTAATTATGAGCGATCCTGCTCGAGCTTGCTTGAGTTTAATCAATTCTAATTGAAAATGCTTGCGATCTGAACAGGTTTGTGTTAATGCACTTGTAAACTTGGGCGATTTTGCGATTACGAGTTAACACTCGAATTTGACAATCATGACTTGGGGAATCACCTAAAGAGCAGCAAAATGTTCACTTAAATTTGCTAAAAGGAAAGTGCAGAAGTGCAAAAGAAAAAAAATTTCTCCAGGACAAAAAATGAGGAAATTTTGTATAAAGTCATAATTAGAAACCAAGGCATATTACATATACTAGTGAGAGGATAGTTTAACATGTTTTATTCAAAAAAAAAAATAACATAAAAACATGTTCAAAATAAATCATTACCACCAAATATTGAGATAATCACATCAAAGACAAGTACATTAAAAAAAATAGCAATTTTTTTTAATTAAATTGTATTCTAAGAGCAAAATATGCTTCCATTTAATCCATATCCAAACTAAACAAACAATCATAAGAAAGCTTAATAATCGGAGAGGTGTCCTCCATTGTGAATGGCAGCTGTGTCTTACAACCAGCCAATTGGCCACTCAAACTCCTACAAAGATAGGAAAGGGTGGTTCATCCACCCTATGCTGTGATTGTTAGTTGAGCCAACTGGACTCTGATACCAAAATATCTACAAAACACACTCCTAAGTCCTAAACCATAGCTGATAAGAGGGGAAAGCTTCCACTGTAAGTGGGAGTCTTATTTCTCAAACAAAAATAGCCAAAATAGGACTCAAACTACTGCATCACAAACACAGGAGATTCATCCTGCTTTTTTTTTATTTATGTAATCTCCATATATATCAAAATAAAAACTGCACTAAGGATATACACATTATCAGGAAACAGCTGAATAATTAAATGCATTTATTTGTTTTCCTTTAGTCTTATAAACCAAATTATTACATTTTCTTTTGAGAAAAAAATTAGTCATAATTTATAATGCACCTCAGACAACATAGTATTTGGTAAAATAAAACTTCAACTTTTTTTTATTATTTGTCACAGGATTTTCTCCTTAACAATCCAGTCATTAGTTAACTTAATGCATTTTCAAGTTGTGAGTATTCACACAAATTTCATTACCTTTTCAAACCTCGTGACAAACTCTACTGTATTTAATTTTCATATGCTACTGATTAAAAAAGCACACATGCACAAAATAAAAAATTATATGAAATTAAAACTCACAGTGTTTTTATTTTCTGACGGCATTCTCTTGGTAACAACATTGACTCCTTTTTCTGCGAGGTGTCTCTGAACAGATAACAGAGAACGAAACTTTCTTCCAGTGTATGGCTCATAGTAATACTGAAGACATAAGATGATAAATTAAGTCATTACAAAAGGGAGATCTAAATACAAAATGTCTAACAGACAAGAAACCCTAGAAATAGAATATATAATTAAAAAAAAAGTGCATGCATGGATGAATATTGAAGAATTGATGGGTGGGAAAGAAAAGAGGTGGTGACCCTGTCAATGTGAGTGGGCTTAGAGACTCGTGGCCTTTCCTCGACGACCCAACCAACGGGGAGACCAGAAGGTGGTGGAGAATTAACGATCTGCAATTCCCTTGAACC